ACATGCTAAAGCCAGGCCGGGAAGACCGGGAACAAAGATGGCGGCGCCCGCTGAAGCAACTTCCGGGTGTTCTGAACATGCGTGAGAGGAACGTGCCAGGAGATGGGCGGGGCTTGGATGGGAAAAAAGACGCAGAGCCAATGATGGGTGGGGATGAACGAAATAGAGCGTGGTCTGAGAAAGGGCGGAAACCGTGAGGGGAAAGGGGTGGGGCCAAAGGGCCGTGCGCTCCTAAAGGGCTCTGCTTTGGCCTAAAATCACCAAAAAAGGGCCTCAAATGCCTCCTAAATCCACCAGGTTAGGCCCAAAATCACCAAAAATGGCCTCAAATGCAGGCTAAATCCACGAGTTTTGGCCTAAAACCAGTAAAAAGGGGCTCAAAAGCAGCCTAAATCCAACAGGCTTGGTCTAAAATCCTCCAAAAAGCCTCAAATGCACCTAAATCCACCAAGTTAGGTCTAAAATCAGCCAAATGGGACTCAAATGCTGCCCAAATCCAGGTTTCTCCTAAAACCATCCAAAAGGGACATGACATTCAGCCTAAATCCAGCTGGCACCGGCCCTGGGACTGCTCAGAGACCAGGACCAGGAGCATTCCAGGATGGAGACCAACAACAGCAGCAGCACAGGGACCGAAACGACTCCGAGACCGAGACTGAGACTGGCACTGGGACTGAAACTGGCACTGGCACCGAGACTGGCACCACCACAGGACCGAGAATGAGACCAAGACCAGCACCTCTCTGGGATCGAGATTCAGACCGGGACCAGAATCAGCACCAGGAGCGCTCCAGGACTGCTCCAAGACTGAGACCCAGACCAGCACCGGGACAGAGACCGACACCGGCAGCGCTCTGGGATCTCCGCGTTCACTCCGGGGAGTTTTGGCTGCGCCCCCGCACGGGACAGGGCAGGACTGGGAGGGACCCCTGGGTGGGGCAGGACAGCCTCGGTTCCCATCGTTCTGGTGCAGCCATCCCGGTCCATATGGTCCCAGTCCATGAGATCCCAGTTTGTACAATCCCAGTCCATGTGATCCCAGTCTGTACAATCCCAGTATGGATGGCTGTTGGGAAGGATGAATTAGGGAAACCTTATAAATACAAGTGTCTAGCAAAAGACTTTGAAAATATAGAAAATATAAGCGAAATAGAAATGAGAGCAATTTTCGACTGTGTGGCTGAAAACAACTGAAAGCCTGAAGGAACCTTTGTTTAGATAATGTTAGATGCTGCGAATACCAAGAAGCAAACAGACATCCTCCCTAGACATGGCAGGAAGGGTCCCAGATAAAATTTAGAGAGAAGAAAAGGAGTAAAACATGGTAATACAGTGGTTCCTATAGGTTGCATGCAAATGTTAGAGAATTTATATCTTGTATAAGATTGGATAGTGAAAATTAGAATATTCAACATAGAAGAAGATTTATTGTATTGTAAAAGAGAAAATCGCCCCTTCTTCACTCTTCACTTTTACCCTCTTCGCACTTACTATTGCTCTATCCTTCTTTCTCCGTCCTGCTCTGAGCAGTGGCTGCAGTTCCTAGCAGGGCCTTATATATACCCACACCCTACAAAATAAACTGCAAACATCAAGACCAGAATACAGAGAGTACCTGAGTTTGTCCCGACCGACCCCAAGCACCAATTCCTACAGATGGCCCTGATCCATCTGGTCCCAGTCTGTGCAGTCCCAGTCTGGAGGATCCCAGTCCATGTGATCCCAGCCCCCATGATCCCAGTCTGGATGGTCCTGCATGGCTCACACTGCCAGGGTCTGGAATTCCAGTTCTCAGCAATTTGAGAGGTTCTTAGGTGACAGATACACAGGGCCATCCAGACTGGGACTGCACAGACTGGGACCAGATGGATCAGGTCCAAACAGACTGGGATTGTACAGACTGGGATCACATGCACTGGGATTGTACAACTGGGATCACATGGACTGGGATTGTACAGACTGGGATCACATGCACTGGGACCATATGGACCAGGATGGCTGCACCAGAACGATGGGAACCGAGGCTGTCCCGCCCCACCCAGGGGTCCCTCCCAGTCCTGCCCAGTCCCGTGTGGGGGCGCAGCCAAAACTCCCCAGAGTGAACGCGGAGATCCCGGAGCGCTGCCGGTGTCGGTCTCTGTCCCGGTGCTGGTCTGGGTCTCAGTCTTGGAGCAGTCCTGGAGCGCTCCTGGTGCTGATTTTGGTCCTGGTCTCAATCTCGACCCTGGATCTCTCCCGGTGCTGGTCCCAGTGTCGGAGTTGGTCTCAGGCTTGGTCCCAGTGCCAGTTCTGGTGCTGCTCTCAGTCTTGATCGTGGTCCCAGAGAAGTTGGGCCTGTTTGGATGATTTTAGGCCAAACTGGGCAGTTTTAGTCCCGATTTTAGTTCCCTTTGGATGATTTTAGGCCCATACGGGAGGACCTTAACAGAGCACTGGTGATTTTGGCCTCTTTTTCTTTGATGATTTTTGGCCCATTTGGTTGGATTTTCAGCCTCTTTGGGTAATTGTAGGTGGAACCAAGCCCTTTTATGGTGATTTTAGGTCTTGTTGGATTGGTTTCAGGACAGTTTGAGTGTGTTTAGGTCCCTTTGGGTGATTTGAGTCGAAACCAAGCACATTCAGAATGAATTATATACCCATTTGGGGGATTGAAGAATGATTTTGGGCAATTTTATGAGGGTTTTAAAGCACTTTCAGCAATTTTACAGACTTTAGTTGGATTATAACCCCATTTTGATGATTTCAGGCTGAACCCTGTGGGTAGAGGATAGATTGTAAGGATTTTCGGTGATTTTAGGCCCAACCTGAAGGAATTAGGCTGGATATGAGACCGTATTTTGGTGATTATAGACCAATCTTGGTAGATTTAGGCTGCATTTGAGACTTTTTTTGGTGATGTTAGGCCGAACCAAAGCCTTTTAAAACCGCGCAGCCCTTTGGCCCCGCCCCATTCCCCTCACAGTTCCCGCCCTTTCTTTGACCACGCCCTTTCCCCTCACAGTTCCCGCCCTTTCCTTGCCCCATCCCCTCCCAGTTCGGGGCTCGGAACGGGAGAGGAGGAGGAGGGAAGGAGGAAGAGGCGGAGCGGCAGCAGGAAGCAGGAGCAGAGAAGGAGCGAATCAAGCGCGCGGCCCCGGAGCTCCCTGAACTCGCAGCCCCCCGGGACCATCGCCCCCCATCCCGCAGGTGCCCGGGGAGGGGGAGCTAGCCCCGAATATCCCGGGGGGTGTCCCTGGGTTTGGGGTTTTTCTGGGGGGGAAGTTTGGATGTTGCAGGGCTGCAGAGGCGCAGATGGCCCTCGGGGGGACTTCGGGGGGTCCCCGGGAGGTGTTTTTGGGGGTCCCGGTGGGTGCCGGCAGAGCCCCGGCGGGGCCCGGGGGGATGCGGGTCCCCCCGCGGTGGGGGTTGGGCTTCCCGGGCCGGGCCCTGCGAGCTGTGCCGGGGCCAGGTGGGGAGCGCGCGGGAGCGGCGGGATCGGCGGGG